TTAACTAATTCGAAGGCTCCTTCCAAAATCTGCCTGTAGGAGGACATGCCCGACCTAAGCCTTGCACCAGACAGTGCATGAGCATACAGTAAACCCGCCTAGTAAGGACGCGCGCGCCTTCATCAGGGTACCCTTGTGCCCTTGCCTCTGCGGCCCGTCCTGTGCCGGCTTCACTGGTCGCCCGACGCCCAGAAAACCCCAGCTTCGGCCTCCAAGGGCCTTGCGTCCTTACCACTCTCCTCAATACACGCTTCGACTGCATGAAAAGTGGGAAACAGACGAATGCTTTCAGCATCCTCTCCAGCTCCTGATGACCAGCTCCCGCTCGCTTGCGCCGCCTCTTGGGCGGAAGTAGTCGGCGAGACGCGCGTGGTCGGAATTGTCGCGACGGTCGACGTGGGCGCAAAGGCCGGCGCCAGCGATCCTGTTCCTTGTGAACATCTGAGCGTGAATTTACCTACCCAGCTTTCGCTTCCAAGCAAAACCAAGTCATACCACGCGCCTCCTCGTCAAGCGGCCTGACCAGTACAGGCCGTAGTTTGGCATCCTTTGGTATTTCTTGGAAGCGAGGGTGGTCAAAAGCGAGGTAGGTTTGTTTGCCCCCCAGAACAGGGCTCGTGGTCGGTGTCGCCGCGGGCGTGGGCCGTCTGCGGCGGGAGGCCCCGCTGCTCAGCAGCGGCTTCGTCGGTTCTGTTGGGCATCGTATCCCCTTCCTCCCTGCCCACCCCGACTTCCGACTTGGCGAAGCAGTTGCAGCATTCTATCGGGCGTGTCCCCCTACAGGGGGCTTCTCGACGAAAATTTTTTAAAAAAAAACACCAAAAATACACCCAAAAGGTAAACAAAAAATTCAAACAATAGTCCCCAGACTATGTTTGGATTATGTTCTGATTATGTTGAGGGTATGTATTATTTTTCGTAGAAAATCCCCCTGTCGGGGGACACGCCCGACTTCATTGCAGCAGTGTGAAGGATCGCGACCGGAGCCCCAGACCCCCCTCGTGCTGCTGCCACGTTTCGAGCCGCCGCGCTCCGTGCGGATCCCGGGCCGCGTCTCTCGGGCGCCCCGATCGACTACACGCAAGAGTGACCTTCCGCCGGAGTGACCTGTGGTGCGGGCACAATGGGGTCCCCCGATCACCGATTGCGCTGCGGCAGCAACGCCTTGCGCGCCTGAGTTTGGCCCCCCCGCGGCCCCCCGGAAGCCGTGCACCAAGGGTCACTCTTACCCAGAGTCACCCTTGCGTGCAGCCGACCAGAGTCAGGAGGGAAAAAAACACACAGACACAATTATTCGTCGATTCCCAGGAAAATATGTGAAAATATGGGAAGTGGGGGGGAAGACAGAAACCCAAAAAATATGGCAAAATATGGGGGATATGTTTATTTGTGTGTATTTATTTGTGTGTCCCAGTTCCCCTTCAAACTGTCGCGACGATCGACGTGGGCGCAAAGACCGGCGCCAGCTCCTGCTCCTTGGGAACAGGGCTCGTGGTCGGTGTCGCCGCGGGCGTTGGCCGTCTGAGGCGGGAGGCCCCCTGCCCAGCAGCGGCTTCGCCGGTTTGCTGGGCATCGTAGCCGCCTTCTCCTTGCCCACCCTGAATTCCGACCTGGCGAAGCAGCTGCAGCACTGTGAAAGATCGCGACTGGAGCCCCAGACCCCCATCGTTCGGGGGTGGATAGACCTCCTACCCTGACACGTCGATTAGTGAATTGGCTGTTTTCGGTTCGCGAGAGGGCGTCGCGGCCGTCATTTTTGCGGGTCCAGGTCCGTCGGTTTCGGTCCCAGGAGGGTTTTCACTAAGGGGAGGTTTACTAAAGGGAAATTTGTACACCGCCGAATCGTGCTGCTGCATGTTTTTCGAGCCGCAGCGCTCTGTGCTGATCCCGCGGCGCATCTCGGGCGCCCCGAGGTGGGCCCGTCCCCGCTCCTCGAGCGCCTGGAGCGCCTGGGCGCGGCCGCGCCCCGGGAGCCGGCGCCCCCCGCGGGCCCGGCGCTGCCGCGGCCCCCGCCGCGGGGCGCGGCGCGCGGCCCGGCCGGGGGCGGCCGGGCGGTGGCCAGCGCCGGGGACGTGCCCGCGCTGCCCCCGAGCCTCTTCCAGGTCCCCAGACCCCCTCACGAGTACAGTCGGGGCCCTGAAGAAGTAAGGAACCCTTTTCGTTGGGGAGGGGCTCCGCGTTCCCTAGTGTTTCACAGCTTGCCTCAGGCTTTCCTTATGATTTCGACAGGAAATCGAAGGTTAACTTGTGGAAAAAAGGGGCCTCTTCCAGGTCCCCATGACCCCCCTCGAGGCCGGAACTCGCAGGCCTACAGTCGGGGGCTTGACCTCAGGAACCCAAAATAAGTAACGAGGCCGCTTTTTTCCACGAGTTAAACTTCGATTTTTCCAATCGGAAACAGAAGGAAAACCTCAGGCAAGCTGCCAAACACTCAAGGAACGCGGAGCTCCTCCCCAACGAAAAGGGTTCCTTCTTCAGGGCCCCGACTGTAGAGGTTGACACCAACACCAGGATCGGCGGCGTGCCTCCACCGAGGGAAGACGATCCCGATCTCGGTGGTGGTGGTAGTATTCTGGCTTCCAAGGTGGCCGAAATATTGCCACCAACACCGAAATCTAGTATCATCTTCCCCCTGTGGAGGCAACCCCCTGGGCTGGTGTTGGTGCCAATTTCCAGGCCTCCAAGGAACAAAATCACGGCGCGGGGTGTTTTCCTGTTTTCGGCCTCCATGGGGCCCTTGCCGGGCCTCGGGGCCGTCAGCAGACGACTCGGGGCGGAAGGCCGGTCCCGGGGATTGGGTCGAGACCTTTGGGGGTGGACAGAACCCCCACCAGTGACACGTCGATTAGTGAATTGTGCGTTTTCGGTTCACGAGAGGGCGCCGTGGCCGTTATTTTCCGGGCTTGCGCCCGCCAGGTTTGGGGTTCTGGTCGTTTTCACTAAACCACGTTTTACTTAAGGGGGGTCTGTCCATCCCCGACCTCTGGGGGTCGATGCTACGACAAACAAATAACGACGTCGGGGGCCTTGGTCGATCGGTAGCAAACCATGGGAGCCTTGCGTGTCCTCGATGTTCCGCTTGTGGAGTGTCTATAGGGCGCTGGCGCCTGGGTACTCGAGGAGGGAGCACCGATCCAGCGTCGAGCAGCGTCGACTCAGTGCCGATGAGCGTCGGCTCGCGTCGGTTCGCGTCTCGACTCGCAAGAGCCAAGGGAGCCAGCAGGATGGCGTGGGAGGCTCCCAGGAGTTGCCACCGAATCTTCAGGTCGGCTTTACCGTCGTTGGCCCAGCCACTCAGAGGAGAAACAGGCCCGGAGATCGCGGCGCTGCAATTCTTCCGCACTGGGCGGGGTCGCCCAGCCTCCGGCCTTGGGACCATCACAGAGCGACCCGGCCCGAGCAAAAGTGCAGCAGAGCGACGGGGTTTAGGCCTCCAGTCGTCGGGGGCGGCAAAGAGGGGGGTGATGACTAGGGGGGGTGGATATCATGGCGTGGGCCATGATATTTCCCCAGATTTCATGGCGCCTTTTCTTATTTCATTACGTCCCTGGCCCCCCAGCTTGGCCGCGCACATGCCGCCGGTCATGATTTGCACCCCCCCCTCTTGGACACCCCCCTCTTGGCCGCTCCGGAAGTCGTGATCTTTCGCGACGCTGCAGCTTTTTGTTCGCAGCGTCGGATCTCGAGGAGGAGCACACCGCCGCCGAGAGCCGAGGGCCCCTCGGCGTGGGGGGGGGGGGGGCGGCCCTGGGCGGCGGCAGGCCCGAGCGACGCCCAGGTACCAGAGGACGCAGGGGCGGGTCCCCCCCGATGGGCTCTCAGCGGCGGTGGTCCCCTTGGCGTCGCTCGGACGTGTGCATTTTTCCTTCGGCGAGGACCATCGTGGAGCATCCTTGATCATTTGGCGACACAACCACGCACGAAACCGAACAAAAGCACAGTGAGTGGACGTCCGAGCGATGGCCAGTCCCTGTGCCCAGGCATCCTCCGAGATGTTTTTGTTGTCAATTCTTCACGCCGCGCGTATATCCCCACTTCCTTGCTAGGTAATTCGGCCCACGCGCGGCCCGCTCGGACCTCACTCGCCGTTGCCGCGCTCGCCTTCGGCTGCGAACAGAAAAAGTGTATCCCCACTTGCCCGTTCAGAGACCTGGCCGATGAGAGTTGGCGGGAAGGGAGCAACGAGACGCATGAAGTGAAACAAAGCGGGCAGCCAGGATGGCAAGAGAGATCTCTGGGAGCAAGGAGGTGGCCTTGGAGGGCCTTTTCGGGCCATCCCTGGGGCCCGCGGAGGGGGCGAGGGGAGAAGGAGGAGGAAGAGGAGGAGGAGGAGGAGGAGGAGAAGGAGGAGGAGCAGGCAAACCGCCTCTATGGGCCGTCGTGGGACGCTCTTGGGGCGCCCTTGGGCGCTCTTGGGGACGTCTTGGGGCCCCTTGGTAGCCCTGGAGGGCCTCTTTGGGCCATCGCGGAGGCTATCGATCGAAGGGGGAGGGGTCTAAATTTCCGACCCCCCCCTGGGGCCATCAAAACCCCCTTTTTGGGGCCCTCGTGGACCGATCTTGGGCGCTCTTGGGCCCGTCTTGGTGGCCTCTTGGGTCCCTCCTGGGGCAAGCCTCGAGAACGCATCGGAAGCGAGATGGCGAGGAGGCAGACATCGTTTTGATGTTCCGTCGGTTGTTAAAGGATTTTGGCTTTTGGGGGTGGTCCTGAGAGGAGGCTCCGAGAGCACTCGGAGCCGTCTTGCGGCCCTCGTCGGGCCTCTTGGAGGTATGCTTGAAGCTAAATTTAGGGGAACAAGCAATGGCATAAACATAAAAGCTCTGAGGTCTGCGCGGATTTTTCGGATCGGCGCTGGGACACCCAGGCGGCGCCTCTGGTGAAGCCCATGGCGCGCTCCGCGCGCCATGGAGGGGGGCTCAGCGCCGATCCGAGAAATCCGCGCGGACCTCCGAATTGTTATGTTTATGTCATTGTTTTTCCCCTAATCTTGAACCATATTC